TGCATATATATACACACATTTAAAAATGAGTGAGGACACTATACGAAAGGCAATTAAACAAGGCAATTATATTAAAAATGAATGTTGGATAAATTCATTAACTGATTTTTACAGTGATACAATCATGAATGAAAGAACCCGCAACAGACTAACCAGAGATAAAATTATTGAAATCATAGGTAGGAATGATTTTAAGGAAGTAGGAGCAACCATTCAAGAAATGGAAGCAGTATTTAAGCAGTTTAATATTCAAGTTAGAATTTTTAATTTTGTAAATGAACTTATTTACAAATATAACCCAAAAATAAGAAACCGTCATATTAAAACATTTTACGCTATGGTGAAAAATAACCATATTTATACATTAAACCACGATTTAAGCAAAATACAACAAAAACAAGTAATATCAAAACTACCCACTATAAAGGCACACACTGATTATTATATAAATGAAAGAGAGGAACCACCGCAATACAAAATGATTAAATGTATAGATGATATACTTAAAATTAAAACTGATGATAAAACAAGGGAAGTATATTTAGTACCCGAAGATAATGATTTGGCAGAAATATTTTTCCAGTTGATAAATATTGGATATGAACCCAGAATTAAATACACAGGTATTATTGATGAAATTAGAGTCAAATTTAACAAGATAACATATATCATAAAGACTCAAAATTTAATTAAATCATCCAGCGATGGTTGGATCGCAGCAAATAATGAAACTATGTACAACAATATGAATAAAGCAATGTTTAATTTTAATAAATCTTTATTTATTTTATCTCACAAATCTTGTTATAATGACATTGATATAAAAATATTAAACGAAACAAGGACTGTAGCACCTTCGGGATTATTATGGGATAAATTTAATTTAATGTGTAAAACTGAAATCGATGAAAATAAGGCATTTACAAAAGGTTTCATAGATATTACTGAAATACCATTTTTTAATCAGTTTGACAATTGGAAAGAATACAATGATGCAATTAATATTGATGAACTCCACGATCTAACATTATATTATATTGAAGTTAACTATCCGAATATACCAAATAAATACAGTATGGAAGGTATTAAACGTAACCATCTTTTGGAGGAAAGTTTAAAATTTAAATCAAAAGAAGAAGTTGAATTCATAATGACAAAAACGTTACTGGGGAATAAAGAGGGCTTAATGTTTAATAAAAAAATATAATTTAGTTTATGGTAAGTTTTTAAAAAAGTTTATTAATCAATATAATATTAAAGTATTATATTATAAACAACCTTCGTTTATTCATGAAACAAACTATAAGGATATGGTTAATGAACTTTGGAAAACTACTATAGATGAAGATGATAAAAAATGATGATATACTAAGTAAAAAATTAATAGGAAATGTCAATTTTGGATTATTAGAGAAGGGAGAGGCTACCGCGCATCAAAGCATTTTGTTTAAGAGTATTGATGAAGCAATCCATTATCAAACAGAATACGGAGGCAAAATTCATAAGTTATCACAGATAGAAGGCAAAATTCATAGGTTATCACATATAGGTACAGAAGACGAAGAGTGTAAAGAGGAGTATGAAGAAGAGTATAAATATGAAATAGATAGAGAAAATATAAAAGCATCATATTATATATTAAAATTAAAGGATAAAGCAGTATTAAGAAACGGCTATAGATATATTAAAGAACTACTCATGCAACATCATAATTTTAAAATGAACCAAGACATTCACAAATTAATAATCAACGATATTAATGTATATAGTGTGAAAACCGATGCTTTTGTAATTGATTCATACAATGTAGAGAAAGCAAAGCAATTATTAGAATTTCATAATGATATAGGAGGTTGGAAAGTTTCTGGGCGAGACAATGAAATTAATCTTCCTACTGTAAAATATGAAGTTGTTAAGAATGATCTAATAAAAATACCAGTTCATGAAAGTAAAACTATTGATATTAAAGATGAATACGACACTGATAACATTATAGAGATTGTTAAACAGAATAACCCTATTATGATCAGGGGCGAACTACCGGGCACAGGAAAATCATATATATGTCAAAAAATGGTTGATAAAAAATATAAGGTAATATTTATTTGTCCTACTAATAAATTATTACAGGCATTCGAAGGTGAAGCAATGACTATAAATAAGTTTTTTGGAATAAACTACGGCGATGCAAAATTAGAACCATTTGATTTTACAGAATTTGATGTAATCGTATTTGATGAAATTTATTTCAGTAATTTAAATATATATTGGAGAATAAAACAATTTGTAGAGCAGAATAAACACAACAAAATTATAATAGCAACGGGAGACACCAAGCAATTAAAACCAGTTCAAGAGATAACAAATACTCGAGACTATGAATTATATACTGATAATATTATAGATAACATTTTTGAATATAATATTTTGTTAAAAGAATGTAAGAGACTTAACACACAGGAAGATAAGGATAAACTAAGAAATATTAAATTTGATATTTTTGAAAATACATTACCTGTTATGAAAGTTATTGAAAAATATTTCGAATATACAACTGACATAAGCAATTCTAACAACAACATAGCATTTTTAAATACAACTTGTAAAAATGTCTCAAATGAAATTATAAAATTAGAAAATAGAAAAGATGAATACGAAGTAGGCGAATTTTAACATGTAGGGAATATACTAAAACTAAAACATCAGTGTTTAATGTAAACTTCAAATATAAAATAGTTCATATTGGAAGCGATGGAATATTTACATTAAAGAATGTCAAAACCGAAATTTTACAAGCAGTAGAAGTTGCTAAAATAATAAGCAATTTTATATTTGCATATTGCTCAACTTGTCATTCTGCCCAAGGCAGTAGCATTGATGATACCATAACAATGTTTGATTATAACCATTTTTTAGTAAAGAATTTTCCAGAATGGATATGGACTGCAATTACAAGGTGTAGAGATTTAAACAAAGTTAAATTTTATAAATATACAAAAGATATTGATGATGTATTTAATCAAAAATGCATTTTAAGTTATTTTGAAAGAAACATATTAAACTACAAAGAACAGGACAGGAAAGCAAAAAGAACCATACCTAAAGAAGGTTATGTAAATGCACAGTGGTTTTTAGACAATATAAATAATCAATGCAATTACAATGCGGTTTTTCTATGGACATGAAAAATGGTAATATAATGACAAATCTGACAGCGCAACGTAAATCAAACGAGTTGTCGCACGAACTGAATAATATTATTCCTTACTGTGTTAGGTGCAATTGTAGTTGTAAATGATAATAATTTAAATAGTAATTTAATATTTCTTGTAAAAAGTATTTAAAGAAATAAAAACTATATATATTATAATAGAAATGGTTGAAACCGAAATCAATAATTATATCAATAAGAAATGCTACGACTGTTGCCACTTCAAACAAGAAAATATGGAATTATACAAATTGAATTTACCTAATGGAATAGTAAGTAATATTATTGATTATGCTTTGGGTAAAGAAGATGAATGTAGAACTTGTAGAAGATGGAGACGATATCAAAATATAATAGAAAATATGTTGGAGATTAAACAAATAGATGAAAGAAATGTTGAAGATGCCATTTTGATATTTTTAACTGTGTATAAAATACCACCTTATAGTTATGTTAGAATATTTCTGAAAATCAGTAAGAAAAAATATGAAATGATTAAAGGTATATTGTGGATGTTGACTTGTCATTTTAGGGAAGGGTTTGATGTAAAAGAAGACATTAAAACATATATTGAAGGAAAAAAGTTTAATGTGAAAAATACCGTGAGAGATATTAATATTATTTTTAAAATGATGCATGAAAGAGATAAGATATATACACAATTTAATGGTCATCAATTGACTTATTATCCTGAACTTAAGTTATAAAATTCTATCTACCTAACCTTGCCCATAATATTTCTACAAAATTTATGATAAAAATATTGTAAGATAATTTATCATATTTTTTGGAATAATATTTTTGAAAATTTATTTTTTAAAAATTATTTTTTGGAAAACTACTTTTTTTTTGAAAATATTATTTTTTGAAAATATGTTTTTTTGAAAATATTATGTTTTGAAAATATTATTTTTTTGAAAATATCTTTTTTTTTGAGAAATATTTTTTTTTTGAGAAATATTGTTTTTTTAGAAATATTATTTTTGATTTTTTTTTTTATGAATGAGCTTAACCTTGCCCATGCATCCTACCATCAATAACCATATCATATGAACCACCCTATACTTCTATTTCCCCACAAGCATCCTAACAATGACAAGAATGATGGAATAGAAAATGAGAAAATGTGACTTTTTTGATGGATTTTGAGGTTGAGACTGTTATGAAATGTTTTGAGTGGAAATATGCATAATGAATAAGGATGACGATTTGAATAGTGAAAAAATGGTTGAAAAATGCTGTTCTTGCGTAGGGGGGGGGCTACGCTAGGATACCATAAAAAGATGGGCAAGGCCCACCCTAACTGCGTTAAGCTCTGTAAACAATCTACAAATCAGCAGGGGGTTGGGGGGGCGCAGCCCCCCCCCATGATGCTCAAAGAAGTGATGATTCAACAAAGGGTGATGATGATCGAAGACGTGATGCTTCAGCAAAGAGCGCGTTAATCTCTGTAAACATTCCGAAAATCAACGGGGGGGAGGTGGGCGGGGGGCACCCTCCCCGCCCCCATGGTGATCGAAGAAGTGATGATTCAGCAAGGGTGCGTTAATCTCTGTAAACATTCTACAAATCAGCGGGGTGGTTGGGGGGGGGGGCTTCCTTCCTTCCTTCCTTCCTTCCTTCCTTCCTTCCTTCCTTCCTTCCTTCCTTCCTTCCTTCCTTCCTTCTCCCCAAAGGAATGAGAAGAAGCTTCGTTTTGATCCCTAATAAGTTTTATTGATCCCTAGTAAGTTTTTTTGATGCCTAATAAGTTGTTCTTTGCCTATCCTTCGACATCGGGTCTCCCAGCCAACTGGTTCTTGCGGAGCTCGCGGAGGACCTCTCCGAAGTCCACGTGGACAGGCTCCTATCCAACCGGCGGGTTAGCCACAAGCTCCACCCTTCCTCGCACACAGCACTTGTGGGAAGATCAATTTAAATTAAAGGGGGCCTGGAGTCTCCCTTCCTCTGTTGCCGTTTGTCAGGAAAGCAGAGGGGGAAACCAGCAAACACAGGATGGCCACTGAGACGCCATGAAGCGCTCACCACAGGGTTGAGGACCATCGCCCCAGCGCGAACTGCCATGTTTTTCCCTACGATGGGACCTGTTGGAACTTCGGCAGCATTGAGCACCAGAGCTGAAACACTCCCATTGTGACACCGCAGCCCCTCTCCAGCCTGCAAGCGCTCGTGGATTCGCCTTGCGTGCCGTGTCTCAAACCGTGAAGGCAGCTAGGCTACTATCCGACGGCCTGCAGAAAGAAAGGCAAGCCACGCCGGCAGTAGCCATGACTGCGCAAAGTCCCATGCACTTTTCTCCACAACTTGCTGAGATCTGCTTCAAATAAAGTTGAAAGGTTGTCTGATGATCAACGGGTTGGGCTTGGTTGGCCTAGCGTGCCTCCTGGGTGCCGCTTGGCCAAAGAAGTTTGCTCTGCATTTGGCTCCGGAGCGCCAGGGGTTTGTCCAACTCTAAGGCTTTGGCTGGGATGCATGCGACGAGAAGAGCATCATGTCAGCGTGGTCCTGCCGCGAAGAGCTAACGATGCCTGTTTGAGCCACCGAATTTCGGGGTGTACAGTGTCTCCCCAAAAAATCAGAGGTGGGTTTGGGGAGCCCACGGAACTCTCGCCCACTGAGCGCAGCGAAGGAAGGTGGGCAAAGCAGCGGCCTCGGTGTATTTCCTTTTGACACGAAAGGGGAAAACCACAAGCCGGTGGTGGTCTCCCACTTTAGCCAGACGTCCTCGTGGGACTTTGCTCTGCTCTTTTGGACCTCAGTGACCGGCAAGCCAACATAGCTTGTTCTTTGCATTTGCGACGCTGGCACGCATCCTGGTGCATTCGTTTGCTGGGAGTTTGAAGCAGCACTCTAAACCTCGAACGTACCAGGACGCTGCAGGCACTGACTCCCTTGCAAATGGCTGGCCCTACATCGCAATGCGTGCGACGGTCATCAGTGACAAAGGCTAGCTTCTCAAGTTGGCTGTTCCCATTTTGACCCATGCCTGGACCTTCAATGAGGCGTGAAAGGTTTAGCTGCTCAACACGCGGCAGCTGAACAACTGCTGCGACCAAGGATTGTCCAAGAAACCCCGCATGCAATACAGCAGGTGAGTAGGTCAGCAGAAAACACGACTCCTTGGCCTGCCTGGCATGGAACTAAGCAAAACGCACCAAGATCAGACTGGCCGTGTCAGAAATGCAAAAATGCGGCGGCTACGTTTTCCCCACCACAACCCCAAGCCAAGCCACTTCTTCTGCCGCTCTCTCCAGAGAGACTGCCAGCATCTCCTGGCCTGTTTGAACCTGGGCTTCAACTTCCCGAGCCAAACATTGGTTGGGCGATGATTGATTTAATGTTCGTGTCCTTCCATGGCATACCTGGTATTACCTCTTGGCGTAATTGCGTGGACCTTACGGTCAACCAAGCAAAGTAGCCCTTTCGGAGCACTCTCTTCGGCTTTTGGACTGTTCGGCTTTTGGTGCATGTGGGGGTTGCCCCTGGGCGAGTGTAAAACTTTGCATACAATCCAGTGTCCGGGCGCCCGTGCGCTGCAAAGAAGACCTTCCTGAGCAAGAATCGCCACAATCAAAGGAAATAGTTCTTAGCCTTACTATCCTTGCTTGAGACAACTCGAATTTCAGGAGGTTCGTTTCAGAACAGTTGAAGCCTCAAACATGCCTGCCCTTCTGGTTGTGATGGATTCCTAGTGTGGGCGAACAGGGGGTTCGAAACGGCACATCCTCAAATCAAACACACACACACACACACTTTGCAAGCTCTCGAAGAAGCAACAGCGCAATGCCAAAAACAAACAGAACAACCACCACCTGCTGCCAGCAAAGCACCTCCCGACCAAATCACACTAATTTGATACTGTACTGAGCGTCCGTGTGATCCTGTCTCTCCTGCAGCCGCTGCAACTTCTCCTGCGAGTACCCTATATGCCCCCATCCGCTCAGAAAAGCCCCCGGCAACCTCCACCCAGCGTCCATGTTGGTTGAACAAAAAGTTGGGCAACCGGAATGCAAACATCAAGCAACCGTGGGCTCCACAAGCTGCGTCGCCAAAAGAACACAAACTCAGTGCGAACCTGCTCGGATGCACATCTGCTCTGCCAAACAGGCTGTACTGCCACGGCAGCGATGCGCCCTCTGCCCGGGGCTGATGCTACAAAGCAACGTGCGCACCTGAAAGAAGGTGCTCAATGGCTGTGCCTCCGTATTCCATCGATTTCATGCGACTGTAGCGCCCCTCTCCTCATCCATCTCCGCGCGAGCGCTAGCCTGCAAGGGCGTAGGTGTGAAAGGTGGCAAAGCCAAGGGTAGAACCCTCATGCTCAAACGGCAGAATAAACAAATGTGAACACATGGCACGCCGCAGAACCACTGTCCGAAGGTTCTACGAAGGCAAGGCCCTCTAAGTGATGAAATGCAAATACGCTGTCCAACGCCGTCGGTTTCCAATCCAGGTGACTTGGTGTAGAAACTAGGGACATTTGGGGGAGGTTTGGAGAGAGGGAAACAAAAATGACTCCGAAAAGGGGTGTCCGAGAGTGGCAAAGCACGCAGGCACACCAAAACAAACACACTGGCCCAAAAGCAACAAAGACTGTGTCGTGGACCAGCGGTCTTCCACAACCAGTCAGCAACAGCAAGCGCACCCTTGTGACATCCCTCAGGCACTTGTTGGTCGCATCTTTGTGCTAAAGGAGATCTGGAACCCCCTTGTGCCCCCACTGGGAGAAATAAAGCACATTATACCAGTGATTTAGCCCCCGTCCATGTTCCATTGGCGTGGTGCTTCATATGCCGTGGCTTGATAGCTCAAGTTCTGCACTTCACCTTGCCTGCGACAAGTGCTGCAGCATCTTCTCCAGTTGCTGCTCATGCCTCTGCCGCGCCTGCGGCACTGCGGCTGGCAGGCAGGGTCATGTCTCCAAGCAACACTTGCCCGCGCAGCCGTCAGAAGCCTGATTCTATTGCGCAGAACACCCATGCTTGTTGAGACCATCCTTTCCGTGGCGCAAACAATCCCTCACGCGCGCAAAGCAGCGTTGCAACCACCATGACTCCAACCGAAGATGTATAGGTCACTGGCATGGGCCCTTCTGCAGCTTTCGTTGCCTTGCCAGCCTCCTTTCTAGCCCCACCCACCCTGTCCGTACAAAGCTCGTCCCGCTGGCAGCCTCGCTGTGCTGGCCGTCTAGTCGCTGAATCTCCTGCGCATGCTGCGAATGCTGGAATTTATCTTGCTAGTCATCCCCAAGAAATGCGAGGCTTTTGCTGGCAGCAGCTGATTTTGCCATCTGACCAACATTGAGTCTTGATTTAAGAAGACACTTTGGAAAAACGGCCGCAAAACCTAAGGCTTGACGTGCACATGCAGCTTCATCAGCAGCATGCGTGTTCAACTTTCTGTGGCCAATCATGGTCGCACATTTGCTGGATATAATTGGATGAATCCCTCACCCCTTCGGGTGGGACCAAGCGCCGGACAAAGTGCTGGACAAAAAGCAGTGCGGCAGGTGGTCTGGTGGGTTGTCTGATTCCCGAGTCGTGTCCGAATGGTTTTGGCGGGCTCCAAACCTGTCCGGGGGTTTGCCCGGCCTAAACAACATATGCCAGACTTGTCCGGAGGTTTGTCCCGGGGGTTGTCCCAGGCTTGTAAGGTCAAACCTGTCCGGCAGCTTGTCCGGAGATTTGTCCGGCCGTTCTTGCTGTTCGGAGGGTTGTCGCGAATGTTGTCTGGTTTTCTGACAATATGGCCTGCAAATGATGGTTTGGTTCAACATGGGAGACCCACCGGTTCAAAGGTACAAACAGGATCACGCCTGCAGGACAGGACTGAGGTCCAGCTGGATGTTCATGACGCTCTCTTCCGTCGTCCTGCCGAATCGATTGGGACGAACAGCAGCCCTTCCCGCATGTCAGGCGAGGCGCAGGTTGGCAACATCTTCATCCTGTGTCAAAATAGGGGGAACCGCAAGACGGGTCGGTGTTCCCTTGGGTTTCTCTTTCAAACCAACGCCAAAAAGGACAAACAAAAAGACACACGCACATTTCCCGGTGTTGAAGGAAGATCTCCACTTGCAGAATGCTGCTCTAGTACTCCAAGTATCTCTGAGAGGCGCACTGCCGGAGGTGCTTGATTTGGTCAAGCAGGGACCTCAGCCAAAGCTCTGGCCTCCTCCCGGTGAAATCCAAGGTCTGTAGGTCTTCTGCGAATTCAAGTATGCATAGCCAATACAAACGAACCGGTTTGAGCTTAGCAGGCCCAACAGTCCATCATGGTCACAATCATGGCTGACCATCCTTGAGGCGGCAAAGGCATGCTGACTGCCCCCGCCAACTGCCCCCGCAAACTGCCCCTCCCCTCTGCCATGTGATCCGATAGCACTGCACCCATTGGGCCAGGCTGCTCCAGTTGCTGGTTGGCCGTGTGTTCCCGTGCCTCTGCGAGAGGACGACTGCGGCACTTGCAAATGCACAGCACACTCAGAAATATAATCCGAGCAAAGAAGAACATCTAGCCAATCCCTCAGTCGCATTCTATTTCGGGTCTTCCAGCTCAAGCCACACAACCTTCCCCCCACTTCAATCGGTGGATCAATCATGATAAACCCAAAACATCTTTGCATTGCAGGCACCGTATTCCCCAAATGAAATCTAGGCAAATCAGCTGGGTCACACATTGGTGCATGTATGGCTGAATAGCCCGACTCAGCGGGTGCTGCTACGTCCAAGTGATATTGAAGTTGCACGTGCTCCAACACATCATTGGAACGGGCCAACATTACGAACACAACTACGCTCAACACCCGCAGTCTAAAGCCCAATGGAACCCAATCGACTCCATTCTTCGACAGCCACTGGTTAAGACCTCACCTCTGAAAGGAGAAAGGACGTCTGAGAATTCTACACCTCGACGGGGTCTGCAAGCACAACCGTACAGGGGCCTACATCCTTTGAGCAACCATGCGATTCAGCCCATGCCTCCAGCATTGTGCCAATCTCCTCCCGCAAAGTGCCAACTGCGCGTTGGACCTCTCCTCTCACCTCGTTCCAAAGGAAGGCAGCCCCAACCCCTTTGACAGCCACGAGTTTATGGAAACAACCCCGTCTGATGGTCTTTGCACCGGCCTCTCATGACCAACAAGACGGTGCTCTCTTGATGTCCTTGCTTCACCCGAGGATTGAGGATTGAAGCCAAATTTCAAAACATGTAACAACAGCACGCATCACAGTTTGGCTCCCTTTGGGAAATTAATTATTTAGCTACTAAATTACTTGAGATTACTTGAGTACATACTTCTGTAATATGGGGCTACAAGGGACTATCTATTTATGCAGTGAAGCATGTCACTTGGGCCGAGGCATCCTGGAGGATCTCATTGCCCACACCTGGCCACGATTCAAGCGGCCTGAAACATCAACCCATGCTGAGTATGGGCGTGCCTTGTGATGGGTGGCTGAAAAGGGAGTACACAGAAAAACCACCAATTTCATGCTTGGTTGCAGGTGGCAAAGGCAAACCCATGTGGTTCAAGATGGCGCTGGTGGTGGCAAATACGGGTCTCTTGAAACAGTTCCTCATATGCGAGGAAGGGGGAGCCCTGACGTTCTGTGCGAGAGAAGCTCCAGAGTTGACATTGACACGCGGCAAATCTGCCGAGCAGCTGTGCATCTTGCTGGTGAAGGCTTTCCGGCACATCTCCATCACGTCATGCCAGGCCTCGGCTTGGTCTCTACAAGTCGTTCCCGCTATGCCGGGAAAATAGAACTTGGTGAATTCCGTGCCTTGCGAAGCTGTCTTCAGCGCCCGGGCTGAGGTGTGCAGTGGAAATTGTCTTTATGACCGGTACTACGTTCAATCCAAAGTTCCTATAAGTTCCTGTTCGATGCAGCGGGTTGACCCGAGAAGGCCTTTGCGCCACTTGACTGATGCAAACTGTTCTTCTGGCAATGATGGTGAAAAGCGCCGAGTCCCAATGCTCCTTCCACTGCGTCGTGCATGTGGTGTTGCGGAAAAAGGTGTGTCAGTGGATGAAACCCGGCAACTCACGGTTTATGAAAGCGATTCTAGAAAGGAGCATTTCGAGTGGGAAATCCCTGGCGTCGGGCATCCCGTGCCCCGGAGTGGAACCAAAAACTTATACACAGACCAGCCACCAATCCTGCCAAGGGCACCCTCACAAAAACTTCCAAAGTGGTCTCGGATGGGGTTCCTCAGGGCGACGCGTTGCTAGTGGCGCTCTTTGTCCGCGGGGACTGAGAGGTGTTGGGGCGCACTGGCCTCGGAGATCGGTACGCATCCGACAGCTGGGCTGATAGGGCAAAACTCTCGGGAGACTTTCCTCCCAACACGATCTTTACAAACATGTTCAGAGATCAGCATGCTTTAGTCAGTGTGAGTAAAGAACCTGGCCTGCCAACTCTGCCCAGCGCATGCGCTCTCCGCTCCAAAGGTCCCAATTCCCAGAAACCCAACTTCCCCAACCCCCTTGCTTTTCCTTTCGGCTTCCAGGTCGGGGCTTCGAGGCTCCAGGCGCCAGCTGTCCCAGGCCGCCCGGGGAGTCGTCCTCGTCAAATTTCACCCCGGCGCTGGAGCCGGGCCTCATCCCCGCCAAGTGGCGCTTCGCCATCACAGGCTTTGGCCTAGGGCTGGCGATTTTGGAGCGCGCCCCGCAGCAGGGGGAGACTTCAAGTGAAACTTGTTGGAGGCCCACCCCTGCGTAGGATTGCCCACCTCCTGGTTCGAACGGACCTCTCCCCGGGAAGCACCATTTGCTGCCTTGCTCTTCCCGCCACCCTTCTACAGCATGCTGCGAGCTGTTTTGGAGTTCGGTCCACTGCGGCCACAAGTCTGCCCATTGGCATTGGAGACCACGCCCTAGGCGTGAAGGCTAAGTAACTTAAGCAACCTATCGCACAGCTATTTCCAGGTTCCATCTAATTTCACTTACAATGTTTTTCCCCGCTCAGCAGGCAACATCAGCACTGCACAAACGCCAGGTTGAAGGTATGGCGGTAGGCGAGGAGCACGATGAAAATCAAGCGAATAACCCAGGGATCTGGAAGACAAACATCTCACTAGCTTCGCTTCAAAAGCGCGGCAGCTGAATATGCTGGCACAGGTGCTTCCAACACTAATCCTTTCCACCAAAACCTCCAGGAAACGCAGTCACCCTTGAAGGAAAACCTGGAAATCCCATGCGATTTACGACCACTCAACAAGACTCGCGTCATTTGCGGCTTGGAGGTGCCGTGCGGCGAACCCCCTTTTAAAAAATGCCTCCCCCCTCCAAATACCCTGAGGGTTGTCCTTTGCTTCCATGTATATAATCAGGCCCCGGACGTCCCCAGTTCCAGGTTTGGGGTGTCAAGCCTCGTGCGTTGTTCACTTCCAAATGGGTCCGGCCGGTCATGAACCCGACAAAGTTCACTGATTCTTGCTTTTCCGTGGACCCTCAAACCTTAGCTGCAGGCCGCGGGTAAAGCACGATGCCATGCCCCGGCTTGAGAAATGGCTGCTGCAGGCCACAACGTGCAATGCACACTTTCTGGAGTTCGGCCTCCACGGCTCTTACTGGCCCATGGGCGTCACTCTGCAACCACCCGTTGCACTGATCAGGGAAGAAGCTTGGCAAGCAGCGCAGGCTGCGCAAGGCAATTCTTGCAAAACGGCGAGCCGTTTATCACCGAACAAGACTCACTCTGATGTTTCAGATCACCCAAGAAATCACCTATCAACATTTGTGTGTGTGTGTCCCCCCCCCCCGCCATTGTCGCACGACCAGCGCAAGCCGGGTCAAGTTCCCAGTCAAGTCAAACTGGTCCAACTCCGGTCACATCCCTCTAGGAAACCGGTCACATCCCCTCTAAGGCCAGTCGAATCCTCGGTCCAACTCCGGACAAATCCACCCACGAGCCGATCAAATCCCCCCAAGAAACTGGCCAATTTCCAGTCTAGAAACTAGTCAAATTACCCTCTCCCCTCCAAAAACCGGTTGTTCCATCTGGCCCTTCACAAGCCATGTGGAAACGCGCGAGCATGCACCCACCCTCGCTCGCGCATTTCGGTGCTCGCTCACTCAAACAAACCCAACACTTCAAGGCAAACCAAAACACAGTACCTCAAAGCCAGCCAAAAGCATTCCGGCCGAGGCGGGCAAAGCGAAGCGTTTACAATAACATGGGGACCCCTGCTCCAAGACCAACCCCTGGCCTGTGCATCCCGTGAGCGCAGGTCCCTTTTCCGCAGTGCTGTCACACGATGTCACATGCTTCCGCTTACCAGTTCAGTACTTAGCCGAATCTGATGGTTGTTCACTCTCAAAAATCTGACCGTGATTTTCCGGGTTGCATTCTTCCACCTCCGCTCCTCGCCACTTCCTCCAGGGTTGGGCCAACTCCTTACTCAAACCTCCATCAAAACAATGGTTCAAACAACCTCCGTTTGGAAGGTCGGTTAACCAGGGAATAGGTCACTTTCCCCAACAATTTTTGCCAAGCTTCCTCTCAAAGTACCACCGGTGCGCCGACCACGAGACCCTCAGTGGGCCCGATACAGGGACCTGAGGTGTCCAAGGCCACGGTGATGACAGTGCCTTTGAAGTCAATCTGGTTCAAGGCCTCAGGCTTGATTCAGCTATCATGCTGCACGCATCTTTGCCTATGAACTCAGAGAGGATAGGCCGCAAAAACAACAAATCTTAAAGGAATTGGATAGAATTCCGGCGTGACCTGATGCCATAGCCCACCATTCAAGTGCCACTATTGCCACGGTTCGTTTTGATGTGTTTATCTTTCGGGACCATGCCCTTGTTTGAACCAATCCCGCCCGGCCTCTTCGCGCTTCAGTTGCTTGGTGATGGCCCCACGGAAGAGCGTCATCCACCCCTCCCCGCGCCGTAAGTGACACTGGGTCAAGGGCCCCAGGCGATCCTCAACTGTGCGACGGAAGCTCCCATCCTTCGGGAACAGCAAAATGGCATCTGAGCCCGAAAGGGACTTGTCGGTACTCACCTCCAGAACTCCGCCATCATACCTCAGACTGGCAAAAGCTGGACATGGCCCTGCAAAACGCAGCTGGAACAAGCTTTTTTTAGCGACAGCATGCAAGCACCGGAGCCAGCCGTGCAATGCTGTGCATCTTGGAAACTGCAACTTGCCAGCAGCCGTCTTTCCGAGCCAGCTCGAAAACCTGAAATCCTCTTGGTGGACCAGGTTGGACCCATTCCTCTTCCCGAGTGAGCTGATCGATTGATCCATTCATATTGAGGCGCTTTTCAACGGCCGTGCTGGCGTGCTCCGAGTTCAGGAAGGTGATGGATGCCTCGGATATGATCTGCCCGAAAGCGTCCGGACCTGTTTTGCTCCCGGCTCCGTGGTTCTGGTTGCTTTTTTGAGACAGTCCCTGGGCGTTTGGCAATTTTCTGCGAAAAATTATCGATCCCTGGGATCCATCGGGGAAGTACCGCTGAAGACTTGGAAAACGGACAAGAATGCCGGAGGAGTGTGTCGGAGAAGGACGGCCCCCGTTTCAAAGGACGAAAACACAAAACAGGAACAATGCAATCTGGGAGCCAAAAGAAATCTCCCTCTCTCTCTCACAGACACACGCAGTTACGCTGGCCTCACCAAACGCCCGTGCTGGACTTCCTGCTGCAGCTTGAGAATTGCAACACCAATGACTCATTCCTCCCTCCCATCGCCTCAAGATGATGCACTCGGAAACTATGAATCATCCAATCAAGAACGGAGCGTCGCACAATGTCGCGTAAAGTGAACATGGCGGCTTCGTCTCTGCATTGTTATTGAGTGACTGCCCTCAAGTCACCAACCAAACTGCTGGGGGTGTATGTTGAGCACGCGTCACATACAGCAATCTGATTAAACAAACAATCTGGTCGATCTAAGCAAAGTGGACGTTTTGAACACAGCGGCCGTGCCGAACTGCAACAGCAGTCGTTTGAAGCCCCAGGAAAAGCTCAACTCCTCAAATGGTTGTAGCACGCCAAGCGGGCAGCGCAGGCTTTGGCGTCCCTTACACTTTTTTGAACCGCAAGTGGCCTGCACATGCCCGCGGTATCTGTGGTTTGCCGGCACTCTTTCTGGTGCAGCCAAGAAGCAGAATCCTCCACGAGGCTGCAATGCGCCACGGGGCCCACGTGGCGTTCAAAGATGGACTGCACGTCTTGGGATTTCAAGCGCTTCACTAAGTTCGAGACCTCAGGCGCCCGTACGCCGCCCACATGCCCACACATCGCGAGTTCAACTAGCCTGGCCAGGATTCTTCCAAGCAAATGCAACACCTGCGTTGTCAAGCCCAAGTTGTATGTGCGACTGCATGACTGTTATAGCAGTAGTGGACGGCTTGGTTCATTCCGTTCTTCGCCTCAAGCCATGTTGTCCACAGCTGTGTTTGACTACATCTTAGCAGAAGGCGCTATAGCACGTCCCATGTATTTATTGTGCGGGCTCTTCTGATGATACGGTGACGGTGAAGTCGGATGATAATGATCTCACATCCTTAAGATGTAAATGACTTTGTCCGAGACAAAGCAGGCCAACAGTTCTGGTCGAAGCTGCTACTAACATCCAAGCGCCTGGGCAGCTACCTACATGAGCCTCACATGATCTTCCAGGTTGTTCCTTTGAGCTGGCGTATTTCGTATTTCCTGTTTCGTTGCAAATGCATCCAAACCTCCAAACACGGGCTCCAAGTCTAGGACGCTTGACAGAACCAACGCATGACTGGAGTGAGGGCCTGTGATGTGTATTCTTGTACTTGCTGCATTCGTCACCAGAAAGAAGAAAACAACAAGTGTTGAAGCACAAAGATGTATGGAACATGCTCACCGACATCCAGACCTTCTTCACCAACCTCGACCCGAACGAGCACTATGCCCTGTACATCCTAACTCCACCCCAGCATCCTCCCCCCCACCCCCGGCCTTCACGCGGTTGAAAATGCGCATGTTCGGGGCCAAGGTCTCCCATTGCGCTGTGAGCCCAGGCGGCGGTCCCACCTCACGTGACAGGGATGGATGACAAGCTAAGAGTCACCAGGGCGTCTTCTTGGGCTTTAGCAAACTAAATAATAACTAATTAATCATGCAATCCCCCGTGCGGGGGTTTTCATCCACCACTTTCTGTTTGAAGAGAAGCTCCAGCATATGGGCTATTTGGCACCTAGCCTCACTCGCTCTCTGCTGACAGGCGACGCTCAACAACGTCGAGCCATGTTCCATGTTGAGCATGCCTGACAGCACATGTGTGCAAACACTTGCCGGCCTAGGTTGAAAGCCCACTGCCAAGAGCACGGCAAGCCATAAGACATCGAAACTAGCAGAGCCCTGGAAACAGTTTCCAGCCAGCTTGTGCCGCGTTGCCACAAAAAGAAACTCAGAGTTTCTATGCGCCACTTGCAAGTTGCCAGGGGCTACTTTTTGACCTCCCGTCATTCATCAAGTATGGGAAGCCTTAGGGCTCTTGAAGCCCCCCCCCAAATTGCCGTGAATGAATCAACCCGGCGGGACCCGGCTTCCTCACAAGGTTTCAATGAGTAGTTTCAAGCGATACTATCATTTTCCGAATATGATCAACTCTTTGCCGCAGGTACCCGACATTTACGTAAGGGCGGTTTAAACGGATCTGATTAAGTTTAGACATGTCTGTTTTTCAAAGGGGTACACATGCAAAGAGTTTGCCGTGAGCACAACAGGGCGCCCCTGTCGGGTTGCGCAACCTGGCGAGGCCGTCTTGCCGCCATGCTGGCTGGGCAGGAGCCGCCATTTCTCCCCTGTTGGACCAAGGCGACTTTTCAGGCCTAGGGTTTGAGAAACGCACACAACCCCTGGAACTCAAAGGGGATTTGTGGCGCCTCGAGTCCAAACAGGGCTGCCGTTGCTCACCCTGTTCCCACCTCATCAGCAACAACTCCTTCTTGCTTCTTTTGCCAGAACTTGACAGCAGATAAAACGAAGGGAAGCGGCCATCGGCAACCGGGTTTTGGGCTTCTTCCCGCCTGCATGTGCATCTCCTTGCGGGGCTTTTCCTGCGAGGACAATGCCTTGCGGGGCTTCTCCATGAAGGTGCTGGGGAGCTCGTTCGGCTGGGGCGGGTGGCCTATCACAATGAAAGACGCCCGCATGTCGCCGTTTCAAGCAAACAGTTGGGGTGAAGTAAAGCGCACAATACCCAGAGTTTGGCTTAATAATGGCCTTGACGTCTCCTCACCAAAGGGAATCGTGCCATCTACTTTCACCTTGCTGTACGGTACACAACAAATATACACAAATCAAACTCTGCAAGACGCGTTCTGTCCAATGCCACTTTCTAAGGAAACAACAAGGGCTCGTCACATACGAGCCTGGGCAACTCTGAATGCGGCCAGCACTTCTCCAAAACATGGAATGTGCCATCGGAAGTGTGACATTATCCATGATGGCCTTGAAGAGAAACAGAGAGATAAGCATTTTTCAGACAAAACACATTCTCGCTGGCATTCTCATCAAATCTGCAAAGAAAGGGAAGGGTCCTGAAGTCACTTTGTCGCTGCAGCCTGTCCACCAAGCAGGCAATCCCAACGCGACGCCATGATTTACATCACTGATCTCTTTGTACACACTTTGCTGTGCTGCATGTAGGACTCTGGTCGTCGGCATGGGATATCAGGGACGAAGCAAATTCCAAGCTGTTTGACAACCTCCCATCTGCCCGGAACCCATGGCTTGCGCCTTGCTGGAAGCTTGTCAAGGCTTCAATGAGTTCTTCCACCTGGGCTGCGGAAGCTCCAGGCGGAAGATCTTGGCCTATCCCTCTGACCCTTGGCAGCCTGAAGTCTATTTTAAAGATCGACTGCCACGTAAAGTAAAGCCTCTCAGGGCAAATGCCCGCAGGCGACTTTTTCATGAACAAACATCTCCCAGTGCCTCTAGAGTCACTGGAATGGCGCATGTATCTAGACCCTCCAATGGGCCAAGTCAAGCCGGGGAAGGATTCGCCAATTCAATACAAGCCTCCATTGTTGGTGGTTTCTGTTGTTGGTTGTGCGTGGTTGTGTTGATGTGTTTGTTTGTTACTTGTGTGGTTCGCGTGGTTTCCGTGCTTTTGCAAGTGCTTGGCAATGATTGCGAGTGCCTTTGCAGGATTGCATGTGTTTGCACCTACTTGGGTGTGCATACACTTGTTTGCGTGGGCTTGTGCTTGCTTGTGCGTGTCCAGCGCAAATCTGTGCGTCGCGTGGATGTTGGTGTTTGTTATGTTTGTCATTTGTTGTGCTGGGTTTGTAGTGCGGGTCTGGGCGTGTGCTTGTGGTAGCTTGTCTTTCTGTGTGTGTGTGCGGGTGTCTCGTGCGCGTGGATGTGCGGAACCCCAAAAGGGTCGCCCAAAAGGAGACCCTTCCAAAGTTGAAAGTCTTGGGAGGTTGCATGTACACATCAGCTTGCGAGCGCCCTGTGGCCGAGTTTCATGCCACAAATTCCGCCCAGGCGCCGGGATGTCAATGCTGAGGGAAACTGTGATGGCTGGCACGATCTTCTCGCCCAAGTTCTTAGAGTGCAGCTCGACGCCCGAACAGGCGGTCTGCACCGGGATGGGACATCGCACCATGGCCGCACTACAGGTCGCTGATTCACTGAGAAACAATGCCACCTGGCTTCAATTGGTGTCTGCTCAGCGACCCGAAGATATTGCACAGCTACGCTCTTGGGCCAAGAAGGTATGCGTTACGCAGTTCACTACAATATGGTAGAAAAGCCTTCCCCAATTACGTCCTACACCTGCAAAGGGAAAAGGTCCGGAATACAGAAAAGTGTTTTCGGAGCAGTGAGAAAAACAAAAAAAACAGCGTTGTGCGACAAACAACAGAACCAAACAGCACAGCACTGTGCGAGCACAAAGTACTAAAGCAATGCTAAACCAATTCTAAACCACCTGTACAAATACAGTATGCCTCGCTGCCAAAACCATGCTGGCTAAGCCCGATTCTTACCCCGATGTGTCTTGAAGTGTTCTTTTTTCCCCGCCTCCCCCTCATGCAAACAAAAACTGTCTGGGGAGAGGTGTCGGGCATTTTCTGACCACTGCCCCACATTATCCCATAGTTATCAGCGAGCAAGGCGCAACCAAACAATGAGTCTTGAGGCTCACAGCGAGCTTCTTTTGTGCAAGGGCTATATCTCTCACATTTGCGCGCGGTTTGGTCAGGCCGTCGGCAAGGCGTTGCCAGTGATTTAAACGATTACCAAGAGTAGGTGCCACAGCATAAGCCAACCATCCTCTTCTCCTGACTCAATGGTCATCCCCTGACTGTGTGGCCTCTGTCCTTGGCCGCGGTGAGTGGATATATAACGCCTGGCATCTTCATGGCCTGGTCTCACTTTAGACCTCGTGAGAGCCGAGGCTGCAGTGTCTGCAACTGAGCTGGACATAGAGAAACTTACCAAAATAGCTAGTTTGGTCCGCTTGGCGCCTGACAGGAACATACAGCTGCCTGTTGCACCTGCCGCAGCCTTGGATGAATTCAGCACGCGCTGGCAACATTGATCAGTTCTGTTGCAAGGGCAATTTCCTGGTGTGGGTCACTGTGTTCACTCAAGCAACTGCAACATTCGGGCAAAGAATGCCATTGCAATGGAAACTTCTTCCCAGTTTGCAGGCTCAGAGACTCCGTGAGCTCTGGCCAGCTCAGCCACTCATCGCAACATACTCCTTTTGCACAGGATTTGTTCGGAGGAATCCCCAAACATCCCCAGACAGACAAAAGGTGCTCTGCCAAGGGTGCCGCGTCTTCTTCCCTATCTAATGGATGCCAGCTAGCGGCTGGCATACTGCAAAGTCTTCCGAGCGTTGCCCCTATTCCGGGGTTGATCAAATGCCGGCATGCAGGTTGCACCACTCACGTTTGCGCAACAGCACTCACGGCCTGACCAGCTGATTTTTTTTTTTTTTTAAAAAAAAAAGGTTGAGGAGTGCGAGAGGCATCAGGGTCAAACATACTTGTACTGAGACATATTGGGACTGGCCATGTAAAGCCATGTCATCTAAGCCGACAGAAACTGTAGTCGGCTGAGGGGTACCGAACGCAACAAACAATGAAGGATGCCTGCGGCGCCATCACTAGGCGATGTGCATTATGTCCATGCAAAATGCGGTTTCGCTTCTGGAGCTCAAAGACGGTTTGTGCGTTGCAAACGAGTCGGGTCCCCCAAACCGTCAATGAATTCGAGAAAGCCGTGGCCAATTCGCATTTCCAATGCCATGCTGCCTGCCTGCGCCCGGGACGTTCATGATGCCAGGGTTCCAGTTTGGCCTCAGCTCCGGGGATTCCACGAGCGTTTGTCAGCTCATTACCAGGGAATCCGGACACCTTGGACAGGCTTTCCCCAGCAAGTGGAGTGGAAGCCCCTCGAGGCCATACCATGGTAAGGGGGCATTTTCTAGGGAGGCGCCTCACCATTTCCTCACGGTCAAGCAAGTGGCATGGCCAGGTGCAGCCAGCAAGGCATTCCCTTCACCGTGGCAAATGAGTTGCTTATTGGAAGCGTGGCCGTAGCCCGGAACTTCTTCCGGGATGGTTTCAAACTGGGGGTGGAACGTTGGCTCCTGCAAAGGGGTACCAAGCTTAACCTTGGGTTGATCAACTGTTGCTAGCTCAGAGCAACCCTCTCAAGCCTTTGAAGGAAACACTGGCAACATGCGCTATGATGCCCGAACGATGTGGACCTGTCTGGGACCTGTCTACACACCTTTTGCCACCCTCTGCGACTGCCTCGTTTGCTCCAGAGGTGCCTGCCTGTGAACGTGTGCGCGTGCCCATTTCCTGGAAGAACAATGGCACACCAACTTCTCAACTCGCCTTGCTGACAAATCCATGAGGGCTGAGAGAAGGTGTAGCATGTACCTTTTTGCCAATGGATAAGTTGCTCACATGGCGTCCGGGCAACACGATGAAGCACAAATATCACCATGCACAGCCTCTGTGCTGCGATGTGATTACTGCAGCCCACCTAAAGGTGACCGCTGGCCAAAGTTCAAAGGTGGCTTAGAGGCTTTGAAGTCTGTGCTCATTCTGAGGAGTGGCCGCGAAACTTCCACATTCTCCGGCGACGGGCTAAACACAGTACTCCAAGCATCCAGAATCGCGGCTTAAGCACCTTATATACTATAACTATAAACGCCCTGTATCAGCCTGTATATTATATTGTAACTATAAACATGGCCGGAAGCAGAAGCCCTTGTGACTCCAAGTCTTCACCCACCATGGTTCGGACTCTGGTGCGATTAGACAAATTGGAACATCTTCTTCATGACCCACCTTGCCATGAAAGATCATGTGAGCCTATGCTGGTGTTTTGGGAAAGGCTTGCTCGCTTCCGAAGTCCAAGACCCAGAAAAAATGCACGCCCAGCTCCTTGTCCGAACGCGGCGAACGAGGGGATCGCGAGCCTGAGCCATGGCAGAGAGTCCTTCCATATGCCGCGAGCCCAAGGGTCGCCATTCTCCGTACGGGCTCGATCCTAGAGCTGCTAGCTTGGCGGTGGCTGCACCTTCACCTGAAATGTGCACCTCAATTGTGTGTGGAGCTCTGAATTCACTTGGCTCATTGACGACAAGGGGGAGTGCAATGCGCAGACCGCTGAAGTAGCAGATCCCACTAAGCAAAGGGCTCACCTGCCAGTGCACGCTTTACACCTATCTGTGCGCTGGGCTCCCCTGCCAGAGGAGGCAGACCGCCTGCGACGGTGAGCAGCTGCGGCAGTTGCGACGATTGGTTCCTACAACCTTGCAATTACTCGATTGCTCGTTTGAACCACACACGCACACGCACGCACGCACAGGCACAGACACAGACACACAGACACACACACAAACACAGACACACACACACAGACACACAGACACACAGACACACACACACACAAACACACAAACACACAGACACACGCACACACACAGGGCAAACACGGCAAAGAAGGAAAACACGGCAAACACGGCAAACCGGGAAACAACATCACGAAAAGCGAGATTGGGGAATCATTAGCGAATACGTCGAGCTGATCAGGGTGGATATCACAGCACATCTACCACCGTCTTCGTTGGGCGGTAGATGGTAGAGTGCACACTACTCCCTGCTTGTGATCGACTTGCAAATTTAACTTGCCTGATCCGGCACGGAGCGGGACACGCACACACACACACAACGGAACGCAATGCACCACAACACAACACAACACACAACACACAACACACAACACACAACACGCAACACGCAACACGCAACACGCAAAACACAACACATGACACACACACACACTTTCTGGAGCGTTGCTGTGGAATATTGTATCACAGAAAGTGGCCCTTCAACCCTATGTTCCACAACAATGCCTGCAAGTACAAATTGTTCAACAGGCATCATGTCATAAGAAAGGGAACCTTGCACAGCCACAAAACACTGCCTTCAAAACATGGCCTTGCCAAACCGGGACATGATTGTGCTCCGGTCACATCTAGCCAAGGTGGATCAAAGCTCTGCTATGAATGATCCATGATACAACCTGCAGAAAATCAGATCTCAAAGACTTTGCCTGGTTCAAAACACCCTGTGCCGCTTCAAACGGGGGTTGGAATTGTGCAAGAGGCACTGCTCAGTTTCATATTTGATCTCTGCTGCCGGAGACTGACTTCCAATGTCTATTCACCGCCCAACGTCACCAGAAAACATGATACGGGGAACCGCTTTACCGAAGCGTCGAAAGACCAACGGCGAGCGAGCCAGGCCCAAGCATGTCCGGGCTGTTGTTGAGCCGTTTTGGTAGACCAAATCCCACAAGGCCCAGCATGTCGGAAACCGCGGTATCCCATGGCAGCCTGCGAGGGGAGTTGCGCCTAGGATGTGCTTCAGAGGCTTGTGGCCCTGCCTCGCCCTATGCCCCTCGAGAACATGGAACTCCCAACGGGTCCCCTGAGAAGATTCCCGACAAATGTCTGGCTTGAAGGTTAGCTGTCAGCGGGCAAATTTCCCAGATCTCACTGCTCCGCTCTTTCACCGCGCATCGGAGACAGCTTGCAAGCAAACCAATCCTGCATTCTTTAAGACAAGCTTCAATATCTCAACACGGGCACCGAGGCAGGAGTAAGCAGCAGGGATCCCCAATGCCCCCCGACTTCTCGCCGGACCCTAGGCTTACGTGGCCAAGCCGCGGGGTGAGCTTGGAGCCAGAACCTGCCATTGGAACTTGGCGTCTTGAAACGCAAGGGGCTTGTTCCCTTCGACCCGGGGCTGGCCCCTCCTTTTAACCAGCCACAACATGATTCATCATGTTTCAACTCCATGTTTCCCCGTGCTTCCTTTGCATGGGGGGATTGTTTGGAATCGCGCGAGTTCGCCTTCCCTGGGCCCTGCCAATCTGGCTTTCCAGTGGATCGTAAGTGGCTTCTTGTAAGCTCCTCACGAGCCAGCTTTCGAAAGGCTAACATCCAACAACCACTTGGTACAAACGGACTCCTCCGTCCCTCCGCATTCCCACGGCATAAGCGTTTAAACTTCAAGGATCGACAGTGGCAGCCTTCCCAGGCTTTCCTCTAAAGATTTGAGCATCAGGGGTCTCCCCGAGAGATGCTAGTTTCCTGTTTGTTGCTGTCCCTTTGAAACCAATCAAGCAGAAGCTCCCCTCAGCATAATCTTGATGCCGGACCCCATCCGCACTTGAACACCCTCCCTGCCTTCGGAGCCACGGGGGCTGCTTGGCCGGCCCTGAGCGCCATATCAAGTTTGGAGGTTTCGATTTCAGTGGCCAGTCACCGAAATTGAATTGGCGCAAACTCAGGAACTCCCCACAAATTGACAACCACCCCCCAGAAGGATCACAACGCAAGGCAAGAAAGTGCAAGCCTAGGCAAAGCCGCCTAGGCGACAGCAATCTGCGTCTTGCTGGCCGTAGGCAGCAACAAGTCAGCAAAAAGGCCATGTTAAACACACAGCACTCCGTACCCTTGTCCTACCCAACAAGTGGAAGGGTAACAATGCGTGGCTGTTCACCGGAGACATGAAGAGCTGGAAGCAACACCTTGCACATGAATTCACGCCGTGCAACGCAGCAATCGCAGCCCAAATGGGGCAACTGGAGCCTTGTAGACGGCAAACGTCGCAGGTGCCGAACGATTGAAACACAAATCCAAGTAATCAGTGGACTGTATAAATTGACAAGGCCAACGTCACAGCAGGAACCGAACCCCAGTAAAGAGGATGCAATAACGAGGCATGCAACACCCGGGCTCCCTGAGCTGGACGCGAGTCGGGCCCCCCGGCTGAGAGCACAGGCTCCCAGTGTGAAGGCGAGCTGGACACGGAGAGCCTGGCGCTGCCCGCTGGCAAAACAGCAAAGGGCCAGAGCCATGAATCCGGGTAGTGGATGAGGCCAGCGGCTGTTTTTCTCATACCCGGGGGGGGGGAGGGGGGGGGGACTGAGCTAATGACTCAAAGACTCTTAAAGCAGGCAACAAGGAAGCGAATTGGTTCTGACTCTCTCCCTTCGGTCTCAAACCCTTGATGGCTAAGCAGGCTGAATTTCAGCAGGTCATCAACCTTTCATAAAGGTCCCCGCAGGCCTCTGGAGGGAGGCTGGCCGGCCCGGAGTGCCTGAGACGTGCGAGTCTAGAATAGCTCCTGGTAAGTTGCAAGCCCCCAGCCCTGGCAAGTCATGCTGAATGTCATCGATTGGGGACCTGCTCACCATACAGGCTGCTCGAGCCCTTGCGATCGGCAACACCAAAACCAACAAGTTGTGCCAGCTAGTTCCTCAGGCATCTCTGCCACACGCTGACCAGGGCATTGACTCATCTCTGCCCAAAGATTTGTCTGGCATCACATTGAAAGGAGCCAGCATGCCAAGGTCTGAAGAATTTGCTTCCCCCGCAATTCTGGCGGGGGCTGGCTGGGGTGGCAGTGCGTGGCTGCGCATGCGCTAATTCCACCGCAGAAGCCTGCTGCGGACCCGGTGCTATGCAAGGAATGAACGCACTGCGGCAATCCCCAGCTTCCCCCCACCACCCCTTCCTGCCAAATTCTCGAGCCTCTGGGCGTGCCCTGGGGCGAGGAGCGAGCTGACCTCTGCTCGGAAGCGGCTTGGAGGCTTCATGCGGCAATCCCATGACCTTTCCAACTCTGATAAGAGCCACCCAACGTGGGATTTGACTAGAAGGGCATTGAAGAATACAGTAGCTCATTAGCTCTTATAGAACAGCTTACCCGAGGCTAATGTTCCAACACATCTTCAGAATCGGAGCGTCTTCCCCAGAATGCTCCATGCTCGTGTACAACCATCACCTTCTTCAGCGCTGTCCGCCATAAATGGCCACATTGAGGGAAGTCCAGTGAAACCAGTCACGAAAAGGGAAATGACATGACATGCGTCACTGCCCTTGCTCTTGCAACGTCGCCGTGTTATGCCGTGCCTGTAAAACACAAAGACACCCGTTCCAGCTGCCCAACAAATGAAGACCCTGAGCCATCATGCCGCGTGTGGACACGTTCCCGGAATACGGGCGGATCTGGGCTGAGAGCAGGGCCCTGGTCGCAGACCTGTATCCACCTTGGCCTGCACGTCTTGGTACCTGCAAGGTGTTTGCCTCCATTGCGTTCACAAGAAGACTCATTAGCCTAAGGCTTCTAAGGCTTCTGTCCAAAAGCCCAACTAAACCCCACCGAGCTGAGAAACACAAAAAGAAAAACGACGGTCACCGAGAGGCAAAATCACTTTCGCTTGCCTCTGTCGCGGCTGCGGGCTCCGGTGCGATGCCTGAGACGCTCCCAACGAACTGTTTGCAGTCCCACAAGTGGCCGAAAGAGGAGAGAGCCCAATCTGCGCCCACATCTCTCATACAATTGAATGCTTGCATCTTAGATCATCTTATAAGAAGCGCTCGCTTGGGGCATTCGCTTTGGGAGGGATGGACATCCAAAAACACAACTAGGGCTTATGCTGCCACCCGAGCTTTCCAGCCCTCATCTGCTGGATGCGGGTGTAAGAAGAAATCACCATTGACCAAAGCAAAACAAAACATCCTGCAAGGCATGCCGGATGCATGTCGATCATTGTGTGTGATCATCTCCCAGAAAACACTTGCACAATGCCAAGCGATAGCCATTGACTGACCTGCTGGACCTTGCTTGCGATGCCGGGGTGGACAGGGAGGGCATGCTACCACAAGGCGACGATGCCAAGAGCAAACAGGCCAAATACCAAAAAGGGCGCAACAGGCCTCACCAACACGAACAGCCCATCTTGCGCCATCAGCTGAGATGCTGGGAAGCTGGGTGGAGGAGCTTCAGCGGGCCTGGCAGCGCAGAAATCTGCCTCTGTGCGAGGATTGTCTGGAAGGACAGGGGATGCTGGTTGGGCACGTCTGTGGCTGGATGTTGAAAACAAGGGCTTCTCATCTTAAGAATTTGAATTGTACGATGACTTGTGGAATTGAAGCATTGAGGGCCCCACGCAAAAAGGACATCTTTGATTTGAGGCACAGAAAGTGATTGTTCACTGTGACGTGCTTGGCAGGGGAGGCGCTGTTGTCTGCCCGCGGCACCCGTGTAGGCGACAGGCTTTCCTTAAGGAAAGGGCTGGGAGCAAAGTAACAGCCCCTCCGAAAGCTTCCAAAGTTGAGCCAAGATGTGATAAACATTAGTCTAGTATTTTTACTGCCGACTACCGCCATGATGAAGTGCATACCCTTAAAATAGGTGGGAGCCCCAACCCCACGTCGCACACTGCCAGGGAAAACCAACCAGAGCCGAGCGCCGGGGATTGCTATGCAACGAGCACTGGCGTTGCCGGGTACGCCCTCCAAGTTGGGCATGTCCCATCTGCATGACCCTCAAACCAAAAGCCACCGGCGCGAAGAAACATATGGGGGCCTCTCAAAAACAACTTTCCATTGCCTGATAATGAGCAACATTGAGCAACCACGTGTCCCTCCCTCCCTGCGCGCGGTTGCGCACGCTGCACTGGTTACCACATTTCTCTCAGCTGCCACTCAGTGCCTCCGTGCTCGATCTGCGGAAACTGTACAGCATCAAGCTGGAGCCGCCCAGGAATCGCAGTTCTTAAAAGGCACGAACAAACAAGCATCCCCGCTCCAAGATGGGCCCTCAGCGTGTACGGTCTACGGATTGCTTTCCCGTTTTTAGTCAAGGCGAAAGGCTCACTTGACAGTGGATAAGTTCATTGGCATGGCATCAATTCTCTGGGACGTCTCAGGCCATCACGTGTTGGGGGCTGTCGCTGTGATTGCTTAGCATCCCTTAAAAGAAGCACATCTGGGCAAGTTAAGGCTCAAAGCAATCCACAAGAATCAGATTCAATCCGCACGGCTCCAGAAGTGCTTCCGCACATCAGTCAGCTGCAATTTGGATCCTGTTCCAAACCAACTCCGCAACTGGCCCCAGTTGTGGCTTTGACGAGGGGCGCCTGACATCCGCCTTGAATGCTCCACGCATGTCAAGCCAAGATGCCTCGACTGACTCCTTCCCTTTTCCAGTTGAGACACTTTGAGACACACAACTTTTCTCCCACTCGGAAGGGATCGAAAGTATGGCAGAAGCTGCCAGGGCCACTGGACTTGCACCTAGCGCAGGAACAAATGCGCCATGGGGGAACCACAAATTAGCAATTTGGACAGGTTCTAACATGGAAGCCAAAAAGAAACCAACTGATGACAATTATTCTCTCCCCAATTTGGGACTCACCCGCATTGACGTCTCCAGGTGAAACACCAGTTGCCAATGCAAATTTTGGGCGCGTGACCATTCACTCTTGCAGAGCCAGCACTCAGCCGTTTCTTGCCTTGGGGATTGACCCGGTCAAAATCTGCATTGACTGCGGTGTGTGGAGACGTGGCGCTGCAACGCTATGGACAAATCCGTGCCTGAAAACTGGAGAGAGACTCCTTTCGGAAAAAGGGACTCCGGGCGGCATGGCTTTGACATGACGCGCCCTCAAACTGACGTGCCAGATCAACCGATCAACCTGGAACTGTACGCACGGAATCTGAGCGAAAAACTGCAATCCTTTGCACCCGAGAATCTGACTCTACACCGGGTCAGCTTCAAGCTCGAAGCACAGGCGGTCCACTGCTAGCTTGGCCTCGGCTGAGCCGCTCAGTTCCCTATCACCCAGCCAGCTACCACCACTCCTAACGCTCCCCCTCTTCACAGTGCCAAGGCAAAGTGCAAGTCAGCCGTAATACAAATCACGCAACAATTTATTCTAAATGGTTGCGCTGATTGATGCGGTCTTGGCAATGCGTTGCAAACTCTCGTCTGCCCTCTTTTGGTTGATTGGCTCAATCAGGCGAACTTTTTGCTGTTAGTGGGCTGCTACACGCTACAGCATAGTTCAGACATGAATAGTTGAGTTGCTCGACGAAGCTGTCTTGCCCCACACGCAATCAACCCCCGCAAGGAAACAGCCGCTGCAACGCCCATGTCGGGGAAAACCTGAAGCTGGAGCCCCACTCCCCGCCACAGCCCACTTTTTGTGGGCAGCCCCCTGAAAGGGCCGCATTCTACTTGTTCGCTTCGACCAAACATGCCAAGAAGCTTTCTCCCTCAGCCTCTCCCGTACCTGGGCCAAAGACTGACCAAACAAGTGGCCTGCACCTTCTGCGCATTTGGCAGTGCTGGCGCAAGTCTTCTGTCCATTTCAGGGCTTTTAGCTATTTAATGCTTGTGCCCACTTGTTGTTGGGAGTGTTCACTTTGTTTGGTCTCCCCTATCTGGTTCATCAACCAGAACGGTTCATCATGGGTTGTCTGTCATGCACAACTTCCAGCCTGCTGCAGGTGTGCTTCCCGTTTCGCCTTGTCGGTCCGCCCAGTCGTGCAGTCCTGCACTTCTCCACATTCCTTTAGCCAATGCAGGACATTTCCCATCGGCCCCTCAGAGGCACGGAAACTGCTTTCCACAGGCCCAGGCCTTTCAACCGGAAACTACGGCAACGCCACGCATTGGGTATGAACTTGTCCACTCATCATGTCCGACATGGAGCTCAAACATCTCCAAAACAGATACGGGATAAGACACAAATACCCAGAGCGCAAACACAGAGACAAAAAAGACAGAAAGCCAGAGCCGCTGAGACACACAAGCGCAGAAACACATACAAGCAAGCAAGCCGGCCAGCAAGCAAGCAAGGCAGCCAGCCAGCCAGCCAGCCAGACAGCAGATATAAAAAAAAAAGTCAATGTATCAAAATACACACGCCACCCACCAGACCCACCAGACCCACCAGACCCACCAGACCCACCAGACCCACCACACCCACCAGACCCACCAGACCCACCCCACCAGACCCACCAGAACATTAGACGTACCAGAACCACCAGAACCACCGGAACCACCAGAACCACCAGAACAACCAGAACCACCAAAACAACCAGAACCACCAGAACCACCAGAACCAGAACTATCAGAACTATCAGAACCACCAGGACCACCCGCCCAAAGATCTCGCAACATTGTGGTCGCCTGCAAAAAAACTCCTCCTTGGCGGCTCTTGCGAAACATACACAACCTGCCACCCCCAACCTTCAGTCAATAGGCGGCCGGCCCGAAACAGGGCTACAAAACCAAGAAACGCTGAAGAAACCAAGGCCTACAAGCCCCAACCGATCTTTCCCTTTCTTTCTCGCAGCTCCTCGTCCTTGACTTGCTTGACTTGCTTGACTTGCTTGACTTGCCTCACTTCTGGAAAGGGCATGGACGGCAGGGCTCGCACCAGCGGCACGGCGGCAAGGCCCAACGCCAGACCTGCCTCAGGTGGATCAAAATCACTTCACATTCCGAAAACGATCATTGCTTCATCATGCGCGTTCTCTTCCCCAAGGTCATTGTGATACTCCATGTGTTCCCACAACATTGTCAGGGAAAACAAATCTGTGGATGAGTTATGGCATGGATGATTGTGCGACAGTGTGTTGCGGGCTTGTTTGACTGGGCTTGGGGATGATTTGGAGCTGGCTTCGGATTGGTCTTGGATCACCCGCACCAATGGCGCAACATGGACGACACCGGCGAGCATGGACTAGGCTTTAAGCACCAGTGTGAGTCAGGCCCATGAAAGCCCAGTTGGAACTGCTGAAATGTGCCTTGCAGTCACAGTCCCCAGTTCTCGTCCCAAACCTTCCGTGGCCATCCCCAAAAACTAAAAAAGCCATGGGTTGAGAATTGCACTTCTGGAAGGGCAGGGCATGCCTGGGCATGTTATCGCAAGCGTTGTCTTTCCATAGCCTCAAGCAAGTTCCCACGGAACGCAGCGGCCACAGATGCTTTCCAAGTCGAAAGGCATGCAGGTTCGATCTCTCAGGCAGCCAAAGCAAAGGTCGCCGCCAACTAGATTGAAAAGTATCGTCCATCAAATGCCACAGTCTGAAACCAAACAGAAGAAAACTCAGCCCGCCAACAACTCAGAGTGGTGGATCTTGAGTCCACGAAATCACTATCAGCTGAACCAGAACATCTATACACCAACCTGGGTGGCTTCCTAATTCTTATACGATTGACGCTCCATTGTTCGTCACATTAACCTGCGTAAATTGTCAACATAACATACATATATACATATATATATATATAATAACATAATGTATGTTTACATATGCATATATGCTTCAAAGTCCCCCTGTCAGGTTGCAAGGGCCGCCGCAACGGGCTGCGCACTTGGCAGGGCAGGCTGCCGCACACTCTCTGCCGGCGCTTCAAGCCCCGGCAGGGTTCGCGCTCGCGGTGCCACAAACGAGGTGACCAAAGGCGGCAGGGACAAGACCAGCACGAGGAGCAGGCGGAGCATGGCCACTGTGCTTCACTAACTGTTGAGCCTAAATTGCTGGCAAAAGCTCGGCTTGTCCAGGGGCAAAACCGCCGAAGGCGCAACACATGAGCTTCTGAGTGACCCAAGCAGAGCATGCAAACGATTGAAAACGCTTCCAGCCTCAACCGACACGATGCTCCTCTAATAGGCTCTGCTCTTCAGTCAGCGCTTGAGCGGCGTTTTTCCCCTTAAACTTGAATGGACACATGGACCCCTTCACTTAGGACTTGAGGTTGCTGTTAATTCTGAGCTCAGGCCATTGCTTCTAATGCGGAGCCTGCCTGTGAGTACCTATTGGGAACTTGGGAAGCGCTCGTCAATATCTGCGAATATTTGTGCCTCGACACTCAACATGGCCAGTCTCGGATCTCAACGCGCGCGCATGTTTTCAAGCGAGGCAGCGAAGCAATCCGCACGCGACTTAGCCAGAGTGGCTGGCACATCCGGGCATTTCCGCATCCTCTTCGCCCAACCAGCTATGCAAGTTCCTGTGCCAAACACCCCGGGAGCCAGTGCATACATTGGCACGTTCAGGCTCAATTTCCAAGCAGTGACATTGGCAGGGTGCGAGGATATCCCCAGAACTACCAAATGCTAACAACCATGTCAAAAGCAAATCCGCCTTGCGTCACAAAGCCCAAGCTAGTGGCCACTGATTCTTTGAGAAGCTGCTGCGCGCTGGCCGCCGGCTAGGCCGAGGCGACCATGGGGTCGTCGGAATGATGGCCACGTGCCTCCAGGTATGCGTAAGCATTGGTGTACCTATTCGTATACCAGCACATGCATATAGATACATATGCCACCTCGAAGGTACCTGCGTTTTTTCCTCCTGAAAAGGTTCCAGTGAATTAATGATAGCAGTTGGCGGTGGGGGAAATCTTCACCTGGAGATGAAACACAGTGAAATTACAGTTGCAGCGTGCTGCCAAGGCAAAGAGACACGATGTATAAGACAGCTTCGCTGAAAAAAATGCTGCGTATGGACACTGCAATATCCCTTGAACATGGAATGACATGCGTGCACCTGCACACGTGCGTGGTGAGAATACTTGAACAATCAATAAATAACTCCTGCATCTTTCACATCTTGCAAGCTCGGCATCAATGAAAACTGCCCGCCACACTTGCCCGGAGCACCAAACAGCTTCACACCCTTCCAGTTGGCAATTGATGGCAGTTGGAAAGCATTGCTGTCGAATTGCCCTAGTTGAAGTTCGATGAGCAGCCAGATTGGATTGACAAGATTCCTTCAGATCTTTCCACATGATGGGAACATGGATCCTATAATCAGTAATCCTATACAACTTCTTGCTTGTTTCCGGCCAACCGAATTGGCGGGCTTCCAGCGGCATCCCCCGGCAGCCTTCAAAACATCTCCTCGTCGGACTCTGCAGTCTCGGCCGGCGCAGGTGCTGGTGCCGGCGGTGGTGCGACCGGCCTTGCACCAGCCAAGGCTGCTTATGGCAGCTAAGGCCGGCATACGCCCAGAAGTGGATCACGGGAACTTATGGGATTTTGGACGAACCAAGCCAGCCCGAACACATGTCACTGTTGGTAAGCGGTTGGGGTACGAAACGCGAAGCCTTCTTATTAGGCAAGCCCCACGACAATGGAACTGCGGCACCTTTCCAAGCTGCGCTGAATAGTGTAGGACCCCTACCGAAGCAGGACCCCGCGATTTGTAGAACCTTTCTTTTCGGCGCCCCCCAGTGAAACACCATCCGAAACTTCCACTGCTCAACGCCCTTGTGCCCCATCGCCCGGGTTCCGAGCGGCAAAATACTACGACGGCTATTGCTCCTTCGTGGGCTGGCCACTGGATCCTTGAAGAGGTCAGGGGCCGCCTCATGAGGACGGCTGGGCAGCTCGCAACTTGCAAACCTATCCTTACCCAGAAGGTGCTTTATTGAGGGCTGGCAACATGATGGAATTATGGAGCCCCTTGAAATTTCGCTCAAGCAGAACACTGGGTCCGAATCTTATGATATGGGCCGGGTGGTGTGGAGGGGCTTCAAGAAGGGCAGAAGGGTTAAACTGCCCAAGTGATTGGGAGCAAGGTGATCTTTGCCTCGGAGTTCAAACTTGTCCAAAACCACCACGTAAAGCCTGACCTTTTTACAAGGGAGCTCTGGAGGAGCCCCTGTCGCTTAGCTGGAACAAATAACACACACACACATAAACACAACTGAAAAAGAGACCGTTGCACACGTGCTGTGAGCTAGGGCGACAAGTGGCTCTCTTCAAACAAACCCGGTAGCATGGAACAGCGCGACCTGGGCAGAACCAAATTCATTGCAAACACGCACGAAGCAGAAACACACACACACACACACACACACACACACACACACTGACGCACGCATGCAAATACGCACACAAACAAAAGAACACAAACAAACAAATCAACAAACGAGCAAGCAAACAAACAACCTAACTAACAACCAAACAAACAGAACAACACGAGCAAGCAAGCAAACAAATAAACAAACAAACGCGACCACACACGCTTGCAACCGGACACACACACACACAGTCACGCAGACACACACACAGAGAGAGACACACAAAGAGACACACAGAGAGACACACAAAGAGACACACAGAGAGACACACAAAGAGACACACAGAGAGACACACAAAGAGACACACAGAGAGACACACAGAGAGACATTAAGAGAGACATTAAGAGAGACACACAGAGAGACACACAGCGACACACACACAGAGACACACACACAGACACACACACACAGAGACACACACAATGGCCCCACCCTTAAGGGGGGGGACCTAGGACCCCCAGAATTCATTTTTGGGTTTCTTCAAGTCCGCCACACATACCAAGTAAAGTTGAATCATTTGCCTTCAGCCACTCTAGTAAGCTTGGCGTCGTAATATTCCCACCCTTTCCTCAAAAGTGGGAGAAGTGGGGAGCATTGGGAAAGTCCTGGACAAAGTACATTATGCCCTCCACCACAAGAGGGAGGTATGCCGCTAAACTGCCCAGTGTTGCCCCGGCCAAACAATGGTTTCCGGACCAATCCCTCTTTTTTGCACATTGTCCGTCAGGAGATGCAGTTTGCGGAGGAGTCCATCTCTTCCGGAAATGCGGTTTCCGGACTGATCCATTTCTTGCACATTGTCCGGAAATGCGGTTTCAGCATTTCAGCGACCCACGGACCCAGCAATTTTGAGCCCTTTGCAGCGCGCCGCCACAGTGATTTTGTGGCTTTCTTGACGCAGTGCGCCACGCCAAAGGCCGGCGCAGGCACCTTGTGCTTCGTGATTTGATGTGATTCGCCCGTGGCAAGTTGGCAAGCGCCTCGAATATTCGGTCAGCTGATCCCTGTGCAACTTTTTTGAAAGTCCAGCATTTCTGGAACCACTCTGCTTCGCAATGCGCTCGCACTCATCCTGCGACCTAGGACAAGGTGCACTGGTGAAGCCGGGCCTAGCCGGGTCGATGGAACATGGCGTAGTTGCTTTGTTTGGATGTGAGCCGTTGTCACAGTGGTCCCGCAGCTTGTTTGATACAATTCACTGTTACATCGCTACTGCGCCTTGCTTGATGCGACCCGCTTGCCCAGAGGAGCTGTATGGAGCAGTCTCAAACAATGGTTTCCGGACTAATCCTTTTGCACATTGTCCGGAGATTCAGTTTCCGGACGAGTCCCTCTCTTTGCGAATTGTCCGGAAATGCGGCTTCCGGACTAATCCATTTTTTGCACATTGTCCGGAAATGCGGTTTCAGCGACCCACGGCCCCAGCAATTTTGAGGCCTTTTGCAGCGCGCCACAGTGATTTTGTGTCTTTCTTGACGCAGTGCGCCACGCCAAAGGCCGGCGCACGCACCTTGTGTTTCGTGATTTGATGTGATTTGCTCGTGGCAAGCGCCTCGAATATTCCGGTCAGCTGATCCCTGTGCAACATTTTTTGAAAGTCCAGCATTTCTGGAACAACTTTGCTTCGCTCATCCTGCGACCTAGGGCAAGGTGTACCAATTAAAAGCCGGGACCTGGCCTGTTCAGGGTACCGGGCCTAGCCGGGTCGACGCAACATGGCCTAGTTGCTTTGTTTGGATGTGAGCCGTTGTCGCAGTGGTGTTGCAGCTTGCTTGATACAATTCACTGTTACATCGCTACTGTGCCTTGCTTATTGCGACCCACTTGCCCAAAAAACCGGCTCAAACAATGGTTTCCGGACCAATCCCTCTTTTTGCACTGTCCGGAGACGCAGTTTCCGAGGAGTCCCTCTCTTTGCAAATTGTCCGAAAATGCGGTTTCCGGACTAATCCATTTTTTTGCACATTGTCCGGAAATGCGGTTCAGCGACCCACGGCCCCAGCAATTTTGAGGCCTTTGCAGCGCGCCGCCACAGTGATTTTGTGCCTTTCTTGATGCAGTGCGCCACGCCAAATGCCGGCGCGGGCACCTTGTGTTTCGTGATTTGATGTGATTTGCTTGTGGCTGTTTGTTGTATTTCGTCGCGGCCTGCCACCCTCTCAACTTTTGATTTTTTCTGTGTCCGCTTAGGGGCAATGTCCGTAAGCGGACGTGGGCTTCGAGCGGCGCAAATTTGGCTCATTGTTAGCCGCCCGGAGCTCCTGGTCCCTAAGCGGACATGATTGGGTCATGTTTGATGTTGACCTATGGCTGGATATACCCTGAAGGGAGGCCTCTGCCCCGAGGATTTTTCAGTGGCACCATCTTGCGCCGTGCAGCATGGAGGGCATGGAGCGCGCGGAGAACATGGAGATCACACCGGCAAACGAGGAGACCGACACCTTCGAGCTGGATGCCGCGGCAGCCCATGCGGCAGCTGAGCAGATCAGCAGATCGAGTGGGCGGGCAGGTTCGAGAAACTCACTCGCCCAAAGCCGGCCTTTTTGCGTTTTGGTTTCCCCTGCTCGGTCAACTTTTGATCACGGCCCCCAAAGGTTCACCTTTAATTTCTGGATCTTGGGCAACCGAGGTTTGTCCAGGCCGACTTGGTCACATCGTGGCTCCGTGGGTGGCTTGGGGAGCAGGACAGTAGCGGACACCAAGGCCTATGGCAGATGAGTTTGGCTTCTGGTGTCACATCTGGATGGAGGGAGGTGTTGGCGACCAGCTTGCTTCAGAAAGTGCAGCAGTACGTCAAGGACATGCAGTAGCTGCCTTGTTGAAAACCCAATCCCCAACAGTTAGTGGTTTGCGGATTGTACTGTTTGTGGAATATGCGGTTTCTGGATGATTGATTACGTACTGCGGATTTTTGATACTCCAGCGGAAGGCCTTCGCCCGCACATTGCAACACGGATTGTAGATTAAGGAGACTACCCACCAGCGCAAGGGTTTCGCGGGCTGCGAAGCCACAATAGGGCCAGATTCTGGCTGGCACCCTGTGAAGGACCAGGCTTGGGTCACCAACCAGGAAGTTGTCTTGTACGCGGTGGAGAAGCACACCACCATTCGGGAAGTGAAGGAGTATCTTTATGTTTCCGGGCACCATCGTATGCGCGCTCTCCATGCGATCTGTCTGTTTAGCCACGTGGCCGGACTATGCCTGACTATTCGTTGGTATGCATTGGTGTGTGTGTGTGTGCATGCCTTGCGGCAGAGTGTCCATGTCTGGCTCTGAGGTCACAGCGCTGCTGAAAGCCCGCCAAGTTGGGCAGTCTCGACTGCTCGTGTAGAAGCGCTCTAGCTGCAGGTTGCGGGGGTCGGGGGGCACCTGTGGCCAAATGAAATCATGCATTCGCATATCAGCCAGCTTGGTGGGGGCCACCTGTGACCAAATGAAAGCACACGCGGTTTGCCAAGGCAGTGAGCCGGCAGCGCTCTGGGAGGCTTCAAGGCATCTCTCGCGCAGATATACAGCACGGAAAGGCTCTCTTACACTGAGCTGCTGTGCCTTCTGAGCAATAAGCAGTCACCCCTTGGCTATGTGAGCTTCAAGGACAGCTAGTTCGTCCACGATTGTCTATGTTCCTGCGCGCATGCGTTTTCTTAGCCAAGGTGGTTTGTGATAAATAGCTGCTTGTCCCAGCGAATCCGGTCATGAGTGGAGCAGTGATCTGCGTTCTGGAGTTGGGCAAGCGCGCGATGTACGAATATGTACGACTCACATAAACTGTTGGCTTTCGGGCACAGGGCTCCAAGAGCTCGTGCTCAGAGGTGGGTGGAGGTGGAATGCCAGGCGTTGCCTTCTGTTTCTTTAAGCGCTCGCCGCGCGCGGCTAGGACGTGATGTGGCAGGTGGATTCGGGGAGATTCGGGCCAGGTTGAGAGCTTGCTCTAATATGATACCCAAGACAATGCATTCAGAAAAAAAATATTTGGACCTTACCCCCCCCCCCCCAAAAAATAGTAAAAGGAGAATTCAAAGAATTATTCTTTCTACTATTTTTTCTCCATCAGCAACACAACAAACAGAAAACAAAATCCAGAACAACAAGCAAACAAAATAAATAATCACAACCAACAACAAACATATTTAATCACAGCATGCAACATTAAATAATTCAAACAAGCATACCAACAAAACAGCAACACTCTAAATCATCAAAGAACCCAAACTCAAAAACACACATCAACAAAAAACAAAGCAACATACCAACAAAAAATATCACAAGAGTATCAAACAAAACAAAAACAAACAGCCAAAGCACGAAAAAATTGAAGAAGCATGCCAAGTCTAAACAACGCACTTTGAAAGAGATAAGCAAATTATAATAATTCAATCTTTACAAACGATAAATATATTACAATTATAACATATAATATTTTACATGTGATAATTATAGTATGATTATAATTTCAGTACAGGATAATAATTTAATTGCAACTCTTTTGAATGAACTTTTT